CGGAAATGATCACGTCGTTCGGGTCTGAACAGCAAAGGTATGCAGTGAGGGTAATAGTGCTAGAAGAGCTGGTTGAATTTCCGCGGGGAGGGGGGGGGTAAAAAGTCTTGGTTGGTCTTCAAACTGTTAAATCCAGTTGTCTGCAAGAAAAGCGTCACGTCTAGCCAATACTCCACACCCATAAAAGAGAGGATCCACAATTAATCACCTGTTAGCACTTCAAATATACCGCCATTGGCATCAAAACAGGCAGCATACAGAATCGCATCTTCCATACCATGGAACTGAAATAACAATGTTATTACATACTGCTCGCTCGCTTATTTAGTTCCATTTAACAGAACATCGGAAACTCCTGCTCTCAAAAACGAGAGAAAAAATCGAAAATCATGGAAAGCACTCTAACTGGGAACCTGGCGGTCTTTCTAGACGAGTTTTTCGGACCTGCTTGTTTTATGCCGGCAAAGCGATGTCCTGCCGCCTCTGGCTCACTAATCGTCTCTTCCAATGCTATACCGTCTAACAGTTAAGAAACCAAACGCGATGTAAAAACTGAACTTGTGAGTAAAAGAGCCTTTGAATTTCGGTGGGCGAGGCACCTGGGGAGGCGTCAGAACTGCCATTTATGAGGGCGGAGCGTCTTCATTCCTGTAAGCTGCGAAACTGGGACAGTCTCAGAGACTGAGGACCAGATTACTTGTATAAGAAAAGACAGCTACGAGTTGCTTGAGCGTGGGGGCTGCCTTTGGGTATTTATTAGACAGTGATCGGATTTGCAATGACTCATGACCGTTGCATCTCCTTTGGAGCCCTCTTTATCCGGTACGGTAGTTACGTTACTATTTGGGGTTCTTGCATTGCCCTCTCGTGAAACTCTGTGGCTCAGAGAGACAAAAGACATGTTCAAGTTAGAAACATGTTCTCCATTTGTAAATTGACGATTCCTTGTTTTAGCAGGTGGATGTTTGAGCCGTCCAAGATTTTTATAATTTATTGGCCAACGTTTCGGCTTCCTCGCCTGGCGAAGACGAGGAAGCCGAAACGTTGGCCAATAAATTATAAAAGTCTTGAACGGTTCAAACTATCCACCTGCGTGAAGATACAAGAATGCCAAGATGCTGCTCATCCATCTCGCAATGTCGGCGGTCGCGTGACTTTGAAGTTTCCCATCAGCCCTCATGGCGCGCTCTTTTTATGGTTGGTCGTAATTCCGAACGGCTGATCGTCTAGGAAGGGAGGCGGGGGGGGGGTGGGGGAGTGTGCTTCAGTTTCTATAGTAGTGCTAACTTCGATGAAAAGTTTCATCTTGCGCTGGACTGCGTAAGGCTTTTACAAAGGATAAAAGGAAGCTATACTAGTGCAATGCCTCCGCAGAAAAATCTACAGTTCCCCATATGGAGCAGCCAGTCAGTGTCGAAAAAAAATTGGGAACGTAAGACAGGGCCCATCTCCCAACTCGCGACGCCCCATCAAGCCGAATGGCACCCGTATTTCTTTACTCTGTGAATATTTATCGGAATGTTTCCTGTGACTTCTTGATTTGATAACACTTTTTTGCACATTTGCGGACTGGCGTTAGTAAATGATACGATATGGTACCTGTGCGATTTTAGCCTCGAGTTGCTTGTGAATATCCTGCGTTCCACAGATGAATCTCACCGAAGACAGACCTGCACCATGGCTAGCCAATGCATCTTGACCGGCTTTTGATGACCTTCAAAAAATAGAGTAATGTTAAAAAGGTCGATTCTAAGGAGAGCAGGGCACATCATTGGTTGGGGCTTTCAGTCGAGCCTGTATGACCCCCCCCCCCTTTCTTTGGGGGTTGGTACGACCCCCCCCCCTTCCTAAGGCCCTCTGTTCTCCTCATCACTTGAGCCGTCGAGCGGGGGGGGGGGTGGCATAAGTATGCATGAAAACAGCGGAAATCAGCGTAAAAGTCAACTACCACTCCCACCATTCCTAGAAAGACCAGCAAAGTAAATACCCCCCGCTCCTCAACAACATTGAGCGAGCACGACCGACCCCCCCCCCTTTACAACGTCCGTGAAGCGAGAAAAATCAACTATCAAAATAAATTTTTCCCAGCCCAAATACGACCTCCCCCTCTCCTGGCGGCCAAATATACGCCCCTCCCTATGGGGAATTCCCCAACTACGATGTGCCCTGCTCTAAAGCCAGAAGGTACATAGCCATGTGAAAAGGGGAAAAACCGCGAGTAACCCCCCTCTTATAATAAGAAAAAGCAACTATCAAAAACAGTTTTTATCAGACAAAATACGACGCCCTTCCCCCAGCGACCAACCCCTCCTGTTGGGAGTCCCCAACGATGATATTGCCCTGGTTAGCGTCAGGCGCGTGTATAGTGGCGCAGTCGCCAGCCCGTTCTCCATGAATTGGTGAGGAGGAGCAAGTGACTTCGGAGGAAATGAGTATATTTGGCCCTCATCCCCGGGTACACCACGTCATCCGCAAAGAACAAAATTGGTCGCTGTGTGGAAATGCTGGCGTATTTACCGACGGTCAGCTGCAAGGACCAAAGGACTTATTCCTATCATGACGACTGAGACTAAATAGGGATTGAAAGATTAATTACCAGTAGATTAATAGGGCTGGTGGTCCGTTCCAAAATTCTCAATGATTTTTAATTGAATCAAACCTCAGGATGGCTGCTGAGTCCGAGATAGTTGTTGGCGCAGAAATTAAGAACCGGTTTGGATTGTCCTTTCACATTAACCAGAACGCCTTGTGGTCCGACAATGATTCGCTCATTTTTGAACGTGCCAGCCGCCTGAAATTCGATTGTGACTGCAAATAGGTTGTAGAAGGTGTAGAAGGTTAAACAATTAAAAGGTTTGGGATAGGGAATACTCGAAAAGTTTTCGAAAGCCAACGCGCGGTTTCGCAAGGGAGTGAAACGCGACCAGAGGTGTGTTGAAGCAACTCTGAATTTTCCCACATCTTCGCGATTTGGGGTTCAATAAAAGTATGTTTTATAAAATATGAACATTCCACCATCCACTAAAGCAGGATAATTTTTACACAAGCCCTGTTCAACTGATCAGCGTACTAAAGCAGAATAATTTTTACACAAGCCCTGTTCAACTGATCAGCGCTGATTAGTCTTTCTCCTGGATGCACCGTGCATCCGTCTCCCATCTGAAGCATAGCAGACCTCCTTAGAATTTTGTAGTTCCTTTCTCACTTGTTCTGTTACTATATCCAACCCTTGATCACATTCTGAAGGTTTAAAGGTAAAAGGTCAAGCCCATGTTCTCCTTCAGTCATCAGAATTCCAAATGAGTCTCGTAAAAACGTTACTTTTTCATAGATAAGGGGCGAAAAGATTCATGTTCAACTATGCATAAAAAAAGGATTTCCATCAAGAACTCACCTTGATACCTTCAAGCTCCTTGTTGAGTAGCGCTCGGAGGCTTTGATTCGCTTTCGAATAGAAACGAGTGCTGGTACGAGCGAACATTGCGCACTAATGCGTCGTCGGAAACCCACGCGCTCTGATGGACGTGAATTGATCGAAAGACGGAGGAGTGATAGAATATGAGATTTCTTCGGTCATTTTGCACGTTCACTGTACAAAAACCAACATACTCAAGGGTTAGCATGGGTCTCGTTGAAACAGAACATTTCATTTAGGCCGTTGTATAGAACTTGACAGTTCGCAAAATGAATTTCTCTGATATCGCAGTTCAAAGAGTGTAACTCTAGCTGTTCGAAAGTCAGTTAGCGTTTTTATCTGAAAAAAGCTTCGCTCAGGCTCCTCCATGACAGTGTACTTACTGCGTTCATACAGAACTGTGCGAGCCAGCCATTGTTGGAATCCTTATCTTTCCTTTCACCCTTTGCGGCAAGATGGACATTCACCTCCACTGATGGTCTCGCGCTGGCGAGGCGTCCACCAGCGCGGCGCTTTACGATTGTCTTGGCGCTTACCCTATCTATCCTGTCCCCGTTCAACAATTTTGGAGAAGTTGGAGGACGCAAGGATGTTGGTGGTAAGCAACTGTAGGTTGTGAAGAGAGCGAACCGATATCGTCTCTTTGGGAGGGTGCTGACCACCATCCCACAGATCCTGCTAAAACTCTTTAGCATCGACGGACCCTACCTGAGCCGCTTGACATGCTTGGATAAAACTCGATACTGGACCACTTGACCGGACAGTCCACCTGGTAGTGAATTTTGCAATACCTCATATTTCATAGCTTGGAAGCAATTTTATAGTACGGGGCTAAAATCAAACATCTCTGCCCTTTCGTTTTTGCAGCGAAACATGACGCATGCCACGAGGAGGGCATAAGAGACAAGCGACGATTTCGTTGTAATGTAATTGTTCGTCACGGTCGAAGAACTGTCAACGACGTACGACCAGTCCACGGAAAGAACTTAACGCATGCAAACAATCACTGAGGGATCCTTGAGGCTTGTGTTTTGAAGAAGCATTCTCATTGGAATTCGAAACTGATTTTCACTGCTCTATCTGGCAGTTATTTTCATTTGAAATCGATGAGCTTGTCTTCTGTTATGACTTTTTCGGAGCCGCTGTCAAATGTATATTTGTAGTGTATTTTGAAATTTAACTTGGAATATGGAAGGCATTACTTTTCCATAATATCCATCATGGCTAGAACGCCCCAAAGCGCGCTTCACAATTCCTGATTGCTCCAAAGATGCGCCCCTACAAGGACTTGGGACTATGGTACGAACAAGAGAAAAGATTGAAGGGTGGAGCATTCCATGGCGACGAGTCCGTTTTCAGGAGGGCTCACGCCTCGGCTTCAGAATCGCGGTGACTTGCAAAGGCTTGAATGACCGGAGTGCTATTTAATTCAGGATCGGACTCCAAGACCGATATCACGGTTCCGCGTCACCTGCGCCTCTTTTGTTCTGGAAAACTTTCGAATTTGAAACCTTTGGAGAGAGAATCTTGTGCTGAGGCAATCTTCTGATTGTGAAGTAATTGAATTTTGAATTGAAATTCGAAATGAAACTTTGACGAAATCCGAAATGAATGGAATTTTGAAAAAGAAATTGAAATTCCGATGAAACTGACTCCTTCACATCTCCGAAAATTCCTGCAAACTTACCATGTAGAGCAGGTCTGCTAGTTTTCACGCAGGTGCTAGCATCAAGCGAAGCGGCTGCCGCTTGCAAGAACCGAAACACGCTAAGCAGGGCACATCGTTGTTGGGGAATCCCCAATAGGGGGGTCGTATTTGGGCTGAGAAAAATTTATTTTGATAGTTGATTTTTCTCGCTTCATGGACGTTGTAAAGGGAGGGGGGGGTCGTATTTGATCATTTTTGGGAGGGGGGGGGGTCGTACCAACTCCCAAAAAAGGGGGTG